ATCGGAACATTTACTTCATTACTTCGGATTATCTCTATTCGATTTTATCTCGGAGCATAAATAGGCGCGGGCAGATGCGTCTGCGGTTAAATAAAGACGCTGACCTACCAGTGTTGGGCTCTCTAGAGCAGAGAAACGACGTGTCTCGCGCGTAAGGAAAATGAATGAACTCGTGGCTACATTCGCTTCGGAGAAGCCCTTGCTCTCGCACATCTTGCGCATCTTCGGAATCGCCCTAAAATGAATGATCCAGCAACGATCGCAACGCGAACATATTTCCTGCGGCGCCAGGGGATTGCATCAACAGAAAGGAAATTCTCAAATATGACGCGAAACAAAGAAGTGCGGTCCACGAAGAAAAAAATGTCACGGAAATGGCATTGTTTCAAGTTTGGGCGTTTGTTTCAAGTTGTCCCTAAATCAAGTACAATCCAGAATTCCCGTTGCTCCGAACTGGAAACTGGCCCGTAAAACCCGTCGCGCGAGATTTTCGGTGTTAGTGGGACGTTAATAGGTAGGCGAGAGAGGCCCGTCCCGCACCCTCCCCTTCCCGCTCTCCCACTCTTTTTCTCCTTTACGATTAAATGATAATTTCAGGTAGTCAGAGTCGCGAGTCGGACACGGCACACGCTTGCGCAGGTGCGACCGATCGCTTGCGTAACGCACACGGCGGACACGCACACGGCGGTCCCGGCCTCCGCGGCCCGTTTTCTGTGCTGCGCGCGGCTCTGTTATAATATATACAGTTTTCGCAACGTAACGTTCCGAGGTATTTCGCTTGCTCGGCGCGTTTTCGGCTTTTCGTTTTGCAAGCGGACAAAACATCTAGCGCGATCACGATCGCTCGCGGGAGGATTGTGATCGCGACCTCCATTCCGCCCGGCCCGTTCGATCTCTCTGATCTCTCTCTCTCTCTCTCTCTCTCTCTCTCTCTCTCTCTCTCTCTCTCTCTTTGGTGCTGAAAAAGCTTCCCTGAAAAAAAATTTGTTCGACAATGCGAATTTCGCATGCATAGATATACAGTTGGCTACACAGCAATTCGTCAGAGACTGTTATTTGCGACGCAAAGGTCACTTGTTGTTCGCGGCTTCTGAAGCGATATTTGGAGGAGCTCCGAGCCGAGGAAGTGAACGAAAACTGCTTATCTTAACAACGGATTTGCATTTAAACCAGATTTCTATAATCGCACGAAAGTGTTTCTAAGTTCTAAGAACTGCTTTGTAAAATGTCAATATCTTTCATGTGAAATTTATTTACTAAATTATTTACTAACGCTAAATAAAACGCGATTAAAAACAGATCTATTCGTACCGTAATTATTGATATTTATGATTGATTTACGCACAAAATTCTATTGCAAGTTTTTATAACAGGATTCGACCGGTTAACCGGTCTCTTTTAATTATGAGAGACCGATTGGCTACGATTGACAACATAATTAATTTTGCTCTCCGCCCTGAAGCGTAGAAATCTGTGATATTAGCACTTTCTTTATGCGAAATGTAATCTTCGTGCATTTTTAATTTTCATTACAATAAAATTACCACAGAAGAGTTCGAAAGTGTACCAAATCAAAATTTTAATACAAATATTATTACTACCAATATTATTACTGCAAATATTATTTGTGCCAATAAATTGCGAATATTATTGCAATTTATTAAACAGAAACGTCAGTACCAATCTTTCTTAATAATTTTTTTCCGCTCGCTATCATCTTGAAAAGAAATTAAACAATTGGTTTTTTTTTCACATTTGGATAGCGAACAAGCCGACATATAAAAAAATAAAGCGATCAGTAATCTTAAATTTATACGTAGAATACGTGCAATAATTGTTAATTTCTTTATTATTAATTTTATTAAGTTTTCAGTTTCTATTTTTCAAAAACGATCTTCAAGTAAAAGTTTCACTTTTATTAGTCTCTCTTTTTTTTGTTTCGGCGACATATTTATGATTATTGGTAGGATGACGGAAACGATAGAATTCGATCGGATAGAACTGAGGAGAGTAAGCAGATTTGCGCATTCGCGAGCACGTCCTGTCTGAAGCTGCAAGTGAAATTTAATTCGCCGTCCGCGTGCACGACGTACTTTGTACGAACGAATATGTTTATATATGCCAGAATGGTTCAAGGCCGCGTCGCCGATTCATGGTCGGCCCGGCGAATTGCGCGATGCCGTTGCCCGAACGCGTCATGCGACCGCTTTCGAATGAACAATTCGGTAGCTGTAATACGTAAGTTGTGATGTCGCGGATTCGAATCCCGAATGGACTTGTTCCCGAAATCGCGTGAGTCTCGACTGAGATCCCAATCGGCGATCATCGGGATCATCCCGAATTGTTGAAAGTGTCGATGATAACATCGAGAGAGGTCACCAATTCTAAAATTGTGTATTTTCGCATTTTATGCAGATTACACATAGAATGTCTCAGATCCAACCTGGAGACGGAACTCTAATGAATTTCTTTCTCTCCGTGCGAGGAATCTCGCCAGACACATCACAGTTGAGTGTAAAATCAAAATTCAAGTCTACTTGCTAAATTGCTCGCTAAACACAAACGTTTAAGCGAAGAGAAATTTCTGAGAAGGCTGACGTCTTGAAATTCTCATCGACTCTCGCAGGTCCACGTGTGAAGTTCTAGAATTAATGATTTCAATTGTACATATATTTCACGCAAGCGGACGCGGTGGTATATTTCTCTCGAGTAGATAGACAGTTCTTGTATTTTATTCGTCAAAAAGAAACGCAGTTACTTTTCTTGAAAAAACAATAGCGGAATACCGTTAGCGGCGCGTCACGAATCTCATTATTACGTCCGCAGAAATCGTCGTCTCCGATAATGAAAGAATCTCATTTTTGTTTCAGGAGGAGGAGGAGGAGGAGAGGAGGTGATTGTTCGAGAAAGGGGTGGTAGGTCCCGCGTCCAGATTTTCGTCCAAAGCAAATCTCAGGATAACCAGACAACGACGGCAACATGTCGATCATAATGCAATACATAGACCAGTTCCACGACATGCTGGACAAACACGCAGGTGATTATTTTTGCGCGCGAAGCGGGCAGAGTGCGGAAAGAAATACCCCGGAATTCGCACGTCGAAGAATAATTTGGACCGCGATGAAAAACAGCGGCGAAAACTTGACAGGGGGCAGTGTGTCAAGTGCACGCGGCTGACATCATCGATCATGTTATAATTGAGGATTACGTAGATGCACGATAATTTCAAGAGAGTCGCGATATAGAGTCGCATGCCGCACGGCATTAGAGTCCTTCAGATTTACATAATTGACTCGTGGAAGAGAACAATGTAAATAGCGCGCGATGATGTCGTTGTTGAGCTTATTTCCCTTCCCTCCCCCTTTTTTTGCTCGACAGCTCTTGAATAATTCGACGGTATTTATTTTTGCGTATTATATGGAAACGCCTACGCCCTCTCTCTTTAATTTATTATCAATCTTTTATACGTCGTTCGTGACGCTTATACAGTTACGCCGATCTTGGAAAGAAATTATGTGCGCCGAGATCATTCATAAATTCTCGCTCGCTTGTTGAACACGGGTCTTTCGCTTAAAAAAAGAAAAAAAAAAAAAGAAAAAAAAAGATTTACGCCTTGCACGCAATTCGAGTTTGATATACATGTGTACCCTGGACGTTTCCGTAGAGATGTACCGTTTCAAGCTTCTTTTTATGGATATACTACTTTTTCTATCGGGTTCCGCGATTCTCGAAATGTGTACGCGGTGATTTATCGTGGGATTTTCGCAAAAGTCATTTTATCCGGCACCGGCCGGCCGGCCTCGCCGTTGCGCGAAATAGAGCGGACGATTGTCAGAGGAGATAAAGAGTGTTTGCTTGAGACCATCACTGTCCCACTTCGGACACAGCAACGAAATGCCACTTTGATAATCGTGGCGTTGAGTCGTGCGAGTAAAGTGGAGTAATTCTTTATTCCGTACAGGGACGCGCGGTTTGTCGTAACGTGGGCGCCTTTTTTCGCAACTCGTCGGTCACCCGAGAGGAGCCCAATGAGCATTACGGCGATGATTAACGATCTAATAGCCTTTATTTCACAGTCGTTTGTTCGGTCAGTCAATAAGAATGGTCAATAAGAATGGAACGTTTACGATGCATCAATTAACATCTCGCCGCGATTAGCATGGAAGAAAAAAAAAAATCATACGTGCAATGGCGCGAACGCTGGGAGTTTTAAAAGTGCTTCGTTAGCTTCATTAACGTCCTACGATCACTCGATTATCTATTTTTTTTATTTTTTCCGTCGATGATTTGCATGCGGAAGATGTAATTTGCACGATCTGCATATAACGCATGCACGATGGTTATATTAAAAACGGTGCACGATAAATGAGAAATTTGAAAAAAATTCAAATGATAATGTCTTCCGAGTGCATAAAAATTAATCTTAAATCAAGATAATGTATTCTCTTATATAAGCAAGAATATTATAATCTCCATACAGAAGATTTTTAGTCTTGAATTGAGCAAAAGTGATATTTGCATCAGTACAAATTCAATTAAATCGAGACTAAAATTTTTAAGAAGACTATAATATTGCTTATATATGAGAATATTTGTCTTGATTTAAAACTAACTTTTTTACTACGGCTTCGTGAAGACGCGCACTTTTATTGCATGAAAACATTTTTTGATTATACAAAAAAAACATATGCATATGTGTTATAATTTTCAAAAGCGCAAATAAATTTGTACCGAAAGCGACATTAATATTTTCTGTATATTTATAATGTTTAATAGACATTCTAATGCATGTTTTTGAAAATCTATAATAGCAAAAGACTTTCAAATAACATAAAAGCAAAAGACTTTTCCAAAATAAAAGTTACATTTATTTTAAAATTATATTCTATTTTATTCTAAATTTTAACGCCAGATCTAAGAATGATAATGTCTAGATACACTGCATCTAATTTAGAAATAACTATTTTCAAGCGAGAAGATATAATAGCTTCTGTACACTTTCTGTACACTTTTTTAAAATTAAAATGTTGTTATCGATTGTGCGAGCTATCTTTTTTTCTTGACAAAAACACACGGCGCTCGCCGGTAGTAAATAAATTTTTTTATTCATATTTTAGTAATAAATAAATTTTTAAATAAATTTTTTTATTCATATTTTATGTAAAAATTCTCGAGAAAAATAATGTCACTTCTAGCATATGTGAGTACATTTTTATTTATACTTCTTCCGAGCAAATTGCACAATCGTTGTCCGTTTTTCACGTGAATGTAACCAAACGCATTTGCTGCTATCGATCAATCCGGAGGAACCGATCCCGGGAATTCCCCGTCGATGCACCCATAAAAATAACGTACATTTATTCCGGGGAAAGCCCAGGAAAGGGTGATCGAACCTTCGAAGGACGAGAAGGGAAAGGATGTCGTGTATGTACTAGGGAATCCTTCGAGATATTCTATCATATAATTATACTCAAGGACTCGGATCGAACGGCAGATTTTTGTCGCCATTAAATCATGGCCATTGGATCATATCGATTGTATGTGTCAAAGAGAGAAAGAGAGAAAGGGAGGGAGAGGAAGAAGTGAACTGCTCATGATCGTCACTGGTCCATTGTACATTGTTTGTTTGGCTGCTGCAACGAAATCGTATTCGGATTTGACTTCTGGATTTTCACTTCTGGAATTAACAAATAACAGAAGCTTGGCATTTTGGATTTTCGATCCATTGAAAGTTTTCGTTATTATATTATCTAAAAACGCTTAAGGATAGGGAATATTTTTTTATACACACCAAAAATCGTGAAAGATCTTCCTGCATTTTTCGCCAGTTCGTTCATTCGAAAAATTAGACGAAGGAAATGATATCTCAAATTCTACAGTCTTTTTAAAAGGAGAGAGATTGGAGTCTCAAGAGTGACTCTCACAGAAATTTCTTGTTGCTTTGCAGATACGAGGACAACCAATTGGCTGCTGATGAGCTCACCCTTCCCCACATTGTTCATCTGCCTTTCTTACGTTTATGTCGTCAAGGTGTTGGGGCCGAAACTCATGGAGAACCGAAAACCCTTCCAGCTGAAGAATACCTTGATAGTCTACAACTTCTTTCAAGTGATCTTCTCCGCGTGGCTCTTCTATGAGGTGAGAATCCGCCGTTTATTCACGATATATAGTAGACCGCTCAAGCGATTTGACGAATCATCTGAAAAAATGTCCGATAAATTTTTCAAAAGATGAATTAAAAGGTTGAATTATTACTGTTTTGACTTCAATCGTTTTTCGCCATAATACTTTCGAATATTTTATTTTTTATTGTAAATCTTTCAATATTTTTCAGAAGTGACATTCGGATATTTACAAAAATAATTATAATTTTTTAAATTAAAATTTATATTTAAAATTTAAAAATTTTTAAAATGTAATTCTATTTAAATTTTAATTAAAAATATTTGTATTTCTTTTTTTCTTTTTTAAGAATATAAATTTTAATATAATTATAATAAGAATATAAATTTAATAAGAATAAGAATATAATAAGAATAATAATAAGAATATAAATTTAATAAGAATATAAATTTTTAATTTTAATTTAATATTAATTTAATTTAATTTAAATTTTTAATTTTAATAAGAATATAAATTTTTAAGATAAAAATTCCTTTGTTTTTTTTTTTTTTTGTTAAACCTGATTAATCCTCTTATATAATTTGGCACAAAATGCAAATCACATAGAGCTTTACACTTTATTGTACATTCCAAACTTTTGATTTATCTTTTATTTGATTTTGTCTGATAATAAATTGCGAATTTTTATAATTACTTGATTTAGACATGCTGTATTCTTGTTTTTCTCTGTTTCCTTGCGCCCGAGGATTAGCTAATCCTAAATTAACTTACAGACTTATCGCCGAGTTTGAAGTCACGATCGGTTTGACGGTACCCGTCGCGACACGGTCGAAAACGGATGATAATGATCTTACAGGGTACAGTACGTTGCTATTTACAGTTGCGCGATCTGACGATTCCGTGATTTTACCGCCGGCAGCTACCGGAACGCGCGAAGCGATGTCCTACGAAAACTTTCTATCTTGACAGCAACGTTCGATTACGTCGATCGCGAACGAATGCATTTGTCATTGGCGCATTCTTCGATTGAATTTACGTCTTTTAACCGCAAGATAAGCTAAAAGTCCAGTCGGTCTGCCGGACGAAATTATCAAAATTAGCAAGCGTACCGTTTTACATCATTACGATGAGAAAGGATGCTTTATATACAGTTTTTTTTTAAATGTACGATTAAATTTGAATTCACATTTCGGGCGAGTTCTCCGATAAGTTTTCGCGGCAGAAATTGAACGCTGGAATGCGCCAATGGCAAGGATGTGAGAAGCACGATTGTACGTTCCTTTCGCAATACAGTGTCTCATGGGCGGATGGTGGGACCAGTATAGTTTTCGCTGCCAGCCTGTGGATTATTCCAACAGCCCCACAGCGATAAGGGTGAGTCGTCGCTTAATCAGTTTAATTCTAGCCGGATCATTCAACGAGACTGCCTCCTATCTACTTCAAAACAGACGACAAGCAACAGATTACAGACGAAGCAATAGAAATCATCGAATCGCACTGGAATCGTTGGTATTATGGATGAAGGATGCTCACAAATATCTTGTTCTTGTAGAAAGATTGATCCCATTCCGAGGGGAAGCTTGGGCCTTGCGGCAGGGGTAAATGGCGCGAAAGCGTGCGATTTAAGCTTACGGAAGAGCTTACGCTTTCCTCCTCATCTCACCTGAATATATCTCTCAAGTGTCCCGATCCAATCTTTCTCCGCTCCGACATTTCCGCTATCGAAGGTTCTCGATGGATAGTCACGACGTTGAAAGCGAGTCGTATCTCGATCGGGGAAGAATTTTGACCGTATAATTGTGTCCTTAGTCTTTGATTTGCGATCCTCTCATCGAAGGAATCTAAAATTTAGAATCCACAGCCGATTTCCGAGGCAGTCCTTTTTTCACCCCGTTGTGAAACTTCACTTTTCATAGAAGGTGCGAGGCGCGAGACACTGTTCGATGATGTTCGTAGAGAATTTGAATTGTAATATTTTATAGTATACTGTGTAGATAGTAGTTATTAAGCTTCTACGCAACATATGACTCTCCTGTATATATTATGCCTATTTTCTTTGTCTCCTCACTGATTGGCGAATGGCCTCTGGGCGAATGTGGTTGCAGATAGGAATGTCCGGATGGCTGACTGGAGACTATTCTCTAAGGTGTCAACCTGTAGACTACAGCGACAGGCCTGAAGTGCTGAGGGTGGGTGATCTCCCGTGATTAACAAAGTTATCTTTTACCATTTAATGTTTTTGTGTTTGTTCCATTCTAACCGTATGAAACTTGTATAAACTTTACAAAACCGGTCGATTGGTCCAAAATTTGACCGAGACAAATGACCGAACCGAGAAAAATGTAATCCTCTTGTCGGACGGCAATTATATTTTTTTCGGCAATATTTTTTTATTACAAAATTAACAACTGTTACCAATTGAAAGATTATTCTAGAACATGTGAGTTACTCCATTGTAACTCGATGATGACCGGTTCTGTATAATCTACGTATCTGTACTAAGAGAAAAGACAAGGTAGAGTAGTATGTAGAGCTGCGAACTTTGTAGGATTGTAGCGATAAAAGAATGGCTCTAACCAAAGTAGTTGGCGGTGATTAACGCTGTTTAACAAAGCGCTGTATATTATTGCGTCTTAAAAACGGTAACAGCCGTGAAGAATTATGAATGTAGAACCCTCTCATACACGCGGCATTGCGCTACATTAATTTCTGTCATCGCATCAGTACGTACTGTTGACGCACTCCGATAATAATCAATGACTATTGTCTTTTCACGTCGCTCTTCATCGTCTCTCGAATACGCCACTGTGACGCAAATCGATGTGCATGCCCGCGGAATGTATTTTTAGTATGCAGATCGGAAAACTGATTTTCAAAAATAATAGATATGCTTATTTTTTTCTCTTATCTTTTCTCTTACGTTTATGTCAAAGAGATAATTCATATTGAGTCAATTCGCTTTTAAATTGCTATATTAACGTAACGTATCCATATCTTTTCCCTCTCAATTTTCACATTCAAGTAAAACTCATTTTTAACTTATTTGCATGGTAATGTGAACAAAAAAATATGTAAAAAATCGTTTAAGCGTTTAATAAAGAAGAATTGAAGATAAGAATCCTGATCTTCGACAGAAGTGCAAAAGAAATATATAAGAGTATAAAATATCTCACGTTTGAGGGCAAAACGAGTAGAGTAAAGTGGAGAAAAGAATTTTATATGTAAAGTCGAGTTTCTTAGGGAACAATAAAGTACTCCTTCTAATCGATATTTCAAAATCGCAGATGGTCTACGCAAGCTGGTGGTATTACTTCTCGAAATTTACCGAATTCATGGACACGGTACGTAAAGTGCAGTTTATATTTCCTTTTAAGTCAGCGTTGGATTATGCGCGATAAGTGATTCGATAAACCTGTCAGTGATTATATGCAAATAGTAAATAAATAAAACAATAAATAATAAATAAATTCGAAAACAATTTACGCATTCATACTGTTCGCAAATCTAAACGTAAAGGAATAAATTGCAAATCTTGATTTAATAAATTCGATAATACGAATCGCGTATAATCTGGCTTTATCGGAACAATTATATTGTGTCGTAGCTAATCACGCATATCTTTTTTCCAGGTCTTTTTCGTATTAAGAAAGAAGAATAATCACGTGTCTACGCTACATGTGATCCATCACGGTTGCATGCCTATGTCGGTCTGGTTCGGTGTCAAGTTCACGCCAGGTGGGTGGAAAAATGTTGATGCAAGGCTTTATCGACTCGTTGCAAAAACTCGAGTGATTTTACGAAATTAATTAGTATCAATGTCAGCGTTCCTTTGTTGCGTATTCTTGGAGGTAGAAAGCCTTTCTCATGCACGTGAATTCAGAATCATTACGAAAACAATTACAGTCAATATTTTGAGAACTTACAAAAGATTGTTTTTTTATTTTTATCATTTTAGAATTCGTTGTTTAGCATATTGGAATTAATTTTTTTTTTAATCTATTTTTGAGAACTTGATTTTTTTTTTTACTAAATCTATGACAAACATATATTTTTGCAGCAACTATTTGTTAAAAAATATTTTTAATATTTTAATATTTTTAATATTAGATATGAACAATGTGGATGCTTAATTTCTTTGATATAAACTTATCTATTTTTCATATCAATTTACTTATAATAATATTTATAATAATTTATTAATTATAATTTTATAATTTTAAAAATATGATATGATATTCTTCTCTTATTCTTTTTGTATGTGGAGCCTTCGATGATTAGAATTGAACGACTTACGAGTATATATTAATTTTTGTTAATCAATCTTGCAGGTGGCCACTCAACCTTCTTCGGTTTACTGAACACTTTTGTCCACGTCGTGATGTATACGTATTACCTTCTTGCGGCAATGGGTCCAAAGATTCAGCCGTATCTCTGGTGGAAGAAGTACCTGACCGCCTTCCAGATGTTACAGTTCATCGCCATTATGGTCCACGCCTTCCAGTTGTTGTTCATCGAGTGCAACTATCCAAAGGCGTTCGTCTGGTGGATCGGCTTACACGCCGTTATGTTCCTCTTCTTGTTCAAAGAGTTCTATCAACAGAGCTACCAGCAGAAGAAACCGAGAAAATCGGAGGGTGCGGTTATGGCGAACGGTGTCGCCAAGGGTGATCATTATCAGTCGAAGGGCAAATATGTGAACGGTATCGCTAACGGCACTACAAATGGCATCTCGAATGGCATCGCGAATGGCGTCACCAACGGTGTCAACGGCTCCTCGCCTAGGAGGAGGGATGCCGCCGATTATTACGTGAAAGGCGAAAGCCTAGCGACGGAGCTCAATCTCCGAAAATCATTTGCGACGAAAGTCGAGTGACCCTCGAGCGAGCGCCTAGTCGATCTTCTCTCGCCACGACGTCGTATTTTCTTTTTCTTCCGCGGAATCGCCGAAGAGAAAATTAAGCAGGCCTTCTTCCTTTTAATTCTCTTTATTTTTAAATTCCCGTAATTATCTTTAACACGAAGGGTCGAAGGCCTCGCCGAGATCGACGCATCTATCGAAAAAGAAAAAGAGTACAAAATTGCGCCACGCGTATTTGGCTCGCGAAACACGGCATAACGTCGACGTAGTTCGTGGGCGAAGTATATAATCGAAGTATATAATACTTCACGGACGCGGACGGTTCACCAATTAGCTCCTGCTAAATTCGGGCTGTCGCACGCGACCGTAATCCGGCGAGTGACGTAGAAGGACGCGGATCGTGTCCTAATGCTCATGTGATCGTAGACCGGAGAAAAACATGTCGTTCGCCTCGCGGATGGCGTGGCTCGAGTTACGAAACGCTTAAACGAGGCACTTAAATAATTCTGCGGTTTTTCAGTAACCTTGACGATAATTCGTGCCACTTTCGAGGTAAACGGTTGTGATCGATGACCGGGCAACCAGTTCGCAAATGCCAACCTTCCGCGATGGATCGGATCTGGAAAATATATAGATGTAGTAATTTCTATAAATCTTTAAAGGACGTTACGTCTCTATGTTATTTGTAGAGTAGACTTTTCTGGTTTGCCTTTGATAATGTTCACCATGTTAATCACCTTGTGCATTTAGAACAGTTAAACGGCTTTGTGATTAATGGTAAAATCATTAATTATCATTAAAAAAAGAAGACAAGAAGAATCATAAAAGAACCAAAGAACGTTATCCAAAACGTGACGGAAAAAACGTGATCTCTCTTTCCGGGAAACTGGCTATTTAGAGATAGCTAATGAATTATCGTGGTGACATTCCTTATTGGCCACTTTCGCAATTGGAAGTATCTGGACGATCGTCTTCCAATTCGCTCCACGCTCGGCGCGACACGACGATGCTCCCTCCTCTCTTTGAAATAAAAATAAACTCCGTCAAGGCTTTATGTCGTTCGTACGCGCGTTTCGAAAATCACAATCTCGCCAGCTAAAGTTCCAAACGTTACATAAAGGAAGAAATTACGCGAATGTAGATAACGGTAAATCACAATAGCCGTTTGGCACGGCACGATTACGTAATTAGTCGAGAGATCTTTTCGTTTGCATTTCGGCAGTTCGTTGCGTAGAGACACGCGTGGATCCGGTGGCCTTAGTCGACCGAGTCGCAGGCTTTGACGCGAAATTTCTCAATTATGTAAGCGCGAAAGAAACAGCAAACAAGATCGGAGCATGAGAAATGCTCGTCGAAAATCACGATCGATCTTATAAAATATCGTATAGTATCGTTTTATCAGAATTTA